CAAATGAAGCACGTACAAAGTATTTGGGATTTGGGGTAGCTTTTTCGCTGATAACAAACAAAAACCCAAACATTTGAACAGAAACAAAGGTTTTTCCGCTTTTGAGCGGAAATGCTATAAAACCCCTTGTTGTTCCAAAGTATACCTGTCACACACAGTCAGTTGAGCATGGGTATAACATTGTGTAAGAAGCCAGTAAGGCATTTGCAGGGAGTAAATTGCGGGAATGTTTGCTGCTTACTTATGAAGTACATGTACTTTGCAACAATTTCTGCTCCAGCATGGGGTTCCTTTTATTCATTGTAATTAAAACATTAAGTTAATTAGATTCATTAAAAAAACTAGAATCCTTTCCACAGTCACTTTGTTTCAAAACACAAGAGGGAAAACCCAACAAATTGCAGACTCATCACGACTCAGCACTTTTTAGTGAAATTTTCAATCCATTTTTTGACAAGTTGGGCGCACTGGTTTTGGGGCTTTATATTTTTAAGATCCTTCATCAAAAAAACAATGCGACGTGACCTAACTAGAATGTTGATTATTGTTTCGGGAATTTGAGCTATACATCCATTTATGTGAGTTCCAATATCCTGTGTCTCGCGAGTCACTCGTTCGCAGCATACACTATTTAAGCCGCCATGCAATCTGTCTGTCTGTCTGTCAGGCGGTCTTGCCTGCCTGTCTGTTTGTTTGTTTGCCTTATATTCCTCGCTATGATTTTCAAGATTGCATACTCCGAGAAAGGTCCGTTCTGGTCGCCGGATTTTGCCATAGCTAGTTTGAAACTTTCCAAAAAATCGAAAAGTCAGGTAAAGACGCTAAATTTGTGTGTGTTTGTGCTGGGGTTTGTTTATGTGTATTTCGAGGACACGCATGTGAATCATCGTAGAGTAATTGAGGACAGGAGTCACATCGAGGACGACCTCGATTAGAAAACGTATACAAAATCAATGGGAGCTGTTGCAAAGAAGTAAGAGTATAAACAAAAGATCGATGATGAGGAACAATAGAAAATCGTCCATTAACACCATAAACATGCAATGTGTATGTGTGTTTTGTATGGCACACTTGTATTGTTGTCGGCCCTTAAATTGTTCGAAAGCACCGATTTTTTTGGTTAATTTGAAGTTCACCAATACTGAGGGAGGTTTGGCTCAACTACTTGATAACTGGGGAAAAGGTAATTGCGCGCAACTAAAGGGTACAATGACAGCCATTTTGGACTTTTCATATTTGGACTCTTCATAATTATCCAGTCGCTAATATCGGGACCCTTTAGGCCCGGGGACCATTCAACACTGGTTTGTGAAGGCCCTCCCCCCCCCCCCCCCACCGGTAAACTTGCCCGCGCCAAATGTTCCATACATGCTCCTCAATGCCTTAACTTTCAATTTTTGATAAGAACCAACTGATCTAATGCCATTATTTTCAGGGTCAAGAAATGCAACTGCACCATTTGGGATAGTGTCAAATGGGTAGTTTATAGCTATTTCAGCTATATAGAGTATCGTGTTTGTTTTTGCTTGAGGTTGTTAATGATGTCTCGGGCAATAATTCTTATTCCCGGGCACAAAACCGCTTGACCATTACTTCCGGTGTTACTGGAAGTGCCATACAAATTGAATATAACTGGAAAGCAAATAAATTATGAAAGTGTTTAGAACGGAACACAGTACACAAACAAAATAACATTATGACGTCATCATTTAAAAGGGCGCCTTCTATCGGTACCTCAATAGGGTTTCCTTTTTTTAATTTAAAAACCCTTTGTCGATTGCCCCTTGTTATCTTTTTATCAACTACATAAAACTTTGCAATATTTCAAAATGATGACGTCATCAGACCAAAGTTACTGTGGGGAGAATTTGAAAATGATTCTTTTTTTTTTAATTATATCATTTGATCCCTGTCTTATGATTTTGTTTGTAGCCCAAATAATGATATCCGTTACAATGTTTAACTTTGAATATTTAATGTTGTGACGTCATCAAAACCGAAGGTGTTACTTATACATACACTTATATTTTCCATATTTTCATACGTTATTTTAACTTAATAATGAACATGTGTCCTCTCCTGACTAAATCGGTATTAACTTTCCATTTTTGGACTGGTGACGGCATCAAACCAGAAATAACTTGTACGTGTACATGAAATATTTGCTGAAATTTGATATATTTTTGTTTTAAAGCTACAGTCCATCATTTGTAATTTGTGCATTTTGTTCGTTTGAAGCAACAAAAGAGTTCATAATCTAATGAAGGATACTGAGCAACTAACCCGATGAAGTTTCAGCTGAGCTTCAGCTGTACATTCCGAGAAAAACAGCATTCTAAGATCTCAATTTCAAATCCAAAGTTATTACTACACCTCATACATATTCATGATCGAGAGCCGAACGTTCACTGGTCAATTCACCATCACGTGCCAGATGTTATTCTTGCTGTTTACCAAACGCGCGCGCGAGGATTCACGCACATTGTAAATACGCATGCGTAGTAGACTGTCGCACGGGTTACCCGTGCGACAGTCTACTACGCATGCGCTTTACAGAGCAATCGAGGAACTGACGCACGGGTGCAGTACGCACGCGCGAACATCACCCAGGAGAGATGCATCTACCATGCATCTCATGGTTCGCGTAAAAATGTTAATTTCCAGAGCTCAATGATGCCGTACTATTTCCAGAGCTCAATGATGCCGTACTGGAGAAAATTTGTAGACCGTGTAAAGATGTCTCCTGTACAAAAGAAAGTTGTACACATTGCAAACATTTGTATTTACAACTGTGGTAACTGTATTATATTGCAAACGAACCGAACTAGTAATTGAATTTGAATTTTTTGGTGAGCTGTACAAGTTTCCCCGAACTTTGTTTAAGTTGCATAATAATAAAACAAAATTCGGCAACTGAATATGTATGAGGTATAGTAAAACAAATATAACATGGTTTATTTCGGGTGGACAGTCGATATTAGCTCCCCTCGGTATTGGAAGTTGACAAACTAGTTCCCTCGGCTACGCCTCGGGAACTAGCTGGTCAACTTCCAATACCTCGGGGAGCGAATATCGACTGTCCACCCTCTAACCATGTTATATTTGTATACTGAATCTTGTTTTGAATTGTTTTGAATTGCAGCTATACGTGACGTCGCGCACTGAAACGAATTATAAACAACCGCGCGCGCGTGTGCGTCGTTCCAATACTTGTGCGCGCTGCGCTGAATAACAGAACGAACTACTAATTTAAATTTTCCTACGGTGCTTCTTAAGAATCACCGTTGGGAATGCCTTCTCTGTTGATTACTTGAAAATGACAGCTTCCCAGAAAGAATAATTTCACAGGGAGTTTAGTTCCCTTAATATCTTTCAACCAAATTTGTTTTTCAACAATAATTACGCCAGTTACCTTTCGGATGGCTGCAAATGATGGACTCTAGCTTTAAACAAAATCGTTGGTTGTACTGGATAGATTCGATTTTCGTGATCCTCTGTTCTGACATAACACTATTCAAACTTAACTGGGCTGTGTCTAATAAAATAGTTGGCTGCCCGACTACTCTGCGTTTGTAACTCAACAACGCCTTGACCTGTAGTTTTGATTGCGCGTGTATCCGGTCTACTTCGTTGACCACTCGCGCGCTTCCAAGTACGCAGTTATTCTGCGTACATTTGTTAATTATTACCATAGATATAGAATAAAAAGACTAGATCGGCAGCGCGTCCACACGCACCCATTCACTGTGCGATAAATCTCCGCCATTTTTGTTGTCACTCGTGGACGCGCAACAAATTAACGTCTGTGGAGATCAATGGCTAAATGTATTTTTCCTCCAGCACGTGACCAGGCTCAACGCGCGCGCGCACCAAGTATTGACGCGATGCACCCACGCGTTAGCAATAATGGTGCAGTGTGGGCGTGATCGGCGTTGCGTTCGTCACGTTTTCGCGAATTATTTGTATCTTTCCTCCAGCAAGTGACCCTCCATGAAAGTCTGCGCTTGTGGACGCGCTGCCGATTTAGTCTTTTCATTCTATATCTATATGATTATTACATGTATATTACATGTAGATTATATTTTTAATTACCTCACCTTAGAACGATTTCAGATCTTGAGGTAGTGACACGTATAGTTGTAAGCGATTCATATCGCTGGCTGTTATTCCATCCGTCATATAGATCATCATCACCTCCAGGTCAATTTCACCTCTCCTATTTCATACCATCGCTTAGTGGAACCGACTGTGTCTGCTACCCCACCTTAATAACCCTTCCCGGCCACATTTTAGACATTATAGACTGTGAGTCACTGAACATCGATCATCGCTATACGTCGGTCGACTTAAATAATTATGTTTTTTAAGTCAAGATATGTAAGTCGAATACCCAAAATATACTCTTAAAAAAATTATTAAAAATGTACCAAAATATGGGTACAAATTATATTCGACCGAGGCTGATTGATGTAAATGAGGCACCTCTTCAAAAAATAATAACTGTCTCACTTTTCCCAGCAGCGTGGCCAGGGTTCTCATCCTTGAGGGAGGTGGCGAGTGGGGGGGGGGGGGGGGTGCATGTGACAGTGGGGGCGCCCATTGTTTCCGTGCTCAGGTAGACATGATTTTGGCGCCATCTTCCCATGGGGTCGCTGTTAAAAACCGACAAACAGGGTTTTTGTGACCCAAAAAAAACAGAAAATGAGAAAAAAAACCACTAAATCTATGTTAAACAAATTCAGCCTAGTCACTTAAAGGACTGTGATATTCTCCGGTTCCCATATTTCCAGTAGACGGTTGACTGGGAGGCGACGATTTTTTTGTATGGGGGTAGGGGCGTGCGCCCCCACTCCCGTAGCAACGCCGCTGACTCCTTCTAAATATCTTCTCTGGGGATATAATAATCTATATTCCAAATCTGGTGCTTTGGACCAGTCGGTCACGATTCAACCCATAAGCCACCTGACTTATATGCTTGTCGATTTCTTCCCACAATGCAGATGCCTTGTTTACAGTGGAACCCGACTCTGAAGGTTCCTACGCAGCTTACAAGATGAAGACAACTCAACCCACACAAGATATGCTGAATCCAGAAAACGTAATAGAAGCATACACTTATGTTACTTCGAAACTATGTTTTTTGTTGATCTTATCAAATGTAATTTTGTTCTTTTTTTCTTTAAATTTACAGACTTATCAGCTGGCGTCGAAATGCAAAGGACTTGCGTTCATTCTAAACAACAACAAGCAGCGGGAAGGCTCACAGATCGATATGGCAAACATGATTCATCTCTTTAAAGAACTTGGATATACACCACTTCCCTACGAGAATCTTGAAGGAAAGGTAAAAAAAATGGAATCAGCAGAAAGAGCTAGAGGGGCGCTCTCTAGCCAAAAAAGGAAGGGACCATCTATAAAGTACTTACACACAGAATGCCGACTTTTTATAACCCCCTGCATAATGGCAGACGCAGTAGTTCCAATCCACCTTTCCCTGTAGCTGTACGCATAAGTTTTCCATAATTTCCGTGTACTATGCCATGTACACCCATCCGGTTCGTAAGTGTGACGTCATTTCAACTTAAACCACGCCCACTGGCACTGACTACGGAATATCATTGGAACATAGACTGATTGCCAGTCCCTCCATTGTCCTTCGGACTTCGAATGTAGGGACAGGTGTCTATCAATGAATCCTGAATATTTTAGGAGGTTTTCCTCCTAACGTATGCAAATTATATGCAGGACTGGCCGAAGTCTGGTTCCCGCAGCCTGAATACAAAAATCACAACAACAATGTTAGCGCACATCCCGCTATTGCAAAATGTGCAAGTTGTGCGAATTAGATAGTTTGTCAGGTAACTATCAATTGAGAGAGGGGCATTATTCCCAGTTATTTGAAACCAATGCAGTTGAAAGGCTTGAAATTTGCCTTCGTGGAGACATCGGCGATTTTGCTTACTGTATGACAAAGAGTCGGATAATCATACTGCGCACACGCAGATGTGATTCAATTGATGGCTTAAAATTGAATGAGGACTAGCTACGGGTCCCATATTTTATGGGGGCGGTGACCATCTACATTGGAAGCATTGGCATATTAGTCCGGTCAATTTAGAACAAAACAGGGCCTGAACTAGAACAAATTGCAATAGAATTTATTTTAATGCTTTCACGTAAGGAAATATCACTTTTTAACATAGGTCTACTGAAAATTTAATTTCCTTTTTTTTTCTTTGTGATCTAAGTGTTTTGAGATGTTTCGTTTCATATTTTCATGTGCTAATAATATGCACTGTAAGCTTCACAACCTGAGCCCAGTAATTCCTTAATTTTCTTAACCAAATCCAACACATCATTTTCAGGCGCTCAATCCTTAGTATTTAATTAAAGATTTTTGCTTTATTTTAAAACGGTCAATGCATGCACTGTCCAACCGCTTTCTATATTTCTATGTAACTACAAAATAACTGTATCCGATAATGTATCACCTCGGAACGGATGCTGTATCAACCGATAAAGTATCAAAAATCAACCGATCATGTATCAGTATGGGGAAAAGGTGTACACAAAATAATGTTTGTTTTATGTCCTATTTATCCCGCCCCAATTTTTGACCGGGGATGGGGGTCTGGGCTATTGGATAACCCCCCCCCCCCCAATTATTTCGTACTAAGAGAAAAAACGCAGATTTTGAGGAATTTTTCTAACTTTCCAACCGCCGAAATGTATTAAATAGTAAAGGGAGAAAAGGACAAAAAGCTTGAAATGTGCTGATACATCTGTATCATGAATAGCGCCCCCAGTGTCATGTTCTCCCTCCCCCCCCCCCTTTGAATTTTACGGCCGGGATTTTTTTTTTTTTTTTAACCTATCCCCCAGTCCCCGGCACACATTTACGCCACTGTTGCAAGGGCGGACCCAGGAATTTTCGTCACGTTTGGACTGCAAACTGTATGGGTTCAACAAACTGAAGTCAGTGGGTGGACAAATAACAAATGGCGTCAAATGCGAACGGTGCCCCCTTAATTTAAAACAAATGCTTGGGCATTTGTACGGTACAGTAATATAGTGTACATGATTGTAGGATTTTGTCAGCGCTCCCCGTTTAAAATATGGCACGAGATTTTTTGTAGATAAAGAAACACTCTTTCGTTTGATTACCTGAACATTTGGGAGACTTTCGTAGTTCTCGAAAAAAACCCGGAAATTTCATGACCTAATTTTTAGTCGATTTGTCCGTGAAATAATATCGTCAAAATGCATGGAAATCTCTTCTTTGAGAAAAAAATACCTTGATAGATGTATGAAGTAGGTCTGTAACTATCTAAAACAACTTTGTTTATTTGGATCGGTTATGGTTTGCCATGAAAATTCGGAATTTTCTTAAGCCCTTTTTACGGCCATCGTTCGCTGGCCTAGCGTTGCTATCAGTTGTGTGGACGAGAAAATAGAGGAGCTGCGTGTGACCATAGAGCAAGGACCCAAGGAGTTCGTGCTCCAAGACTTCAAAAGTAAAATGATGGTCGCCGCGCTCGAAAGCTACAATAGAAAGCACCTGGCGCCAGCTTGCTCATTTGCTCACTACGCTAATCTTGACACAATAGAGATCCGCGCTCACTAATGCCAAAAAAGGAGTTTGCGTGGCTTCGTAGACAGTACCATGGTAAATACGCTTGCGCAGTTGTCATACATCGCTAAAAATGAATGATTTTGAAGTGTTTGTTCGGAGTTGGCTAATACTGGCTAACAATGTGGTCAACATCACTGAAACAATCATTTCATGAAGAACAAAATGCTCTGTACCTTTGGTGTGAGAACTTGTGAAATTTTGCCAAAAAAAAAACACATTTCATCAATGATATATTGCCAATTAAAATGTCTGAAAATACATGAAAACTTATCTGAAAGAAATCCAATTTATCTCCAAATTACAGGGACAGATAACGCTTTTAAGCACCAACAACTGCACATTGCTAACTTGAGCTAACAGATAACGCTTTTATGCACCAACAACTGCACATTGCTAACTTGTGTTCATAACTCACATCTAACAACTGCGCGATTGTAAAAACCTATCAGGGACAGATAACGCTTTACAGGGACAGATAACGCTTTTAAGCACCAACAACTGCACATTGCTAACTTGAGCTAACAGATAACGCTTTTAAGCACCAACAACTGCACATTGCTAACTTGAGTTCATAACTCACATCTAACAACTGCACGGGTTGTAAAAACCTATCAGGGACAGATAACGCTTTACAGGGACAGATAACGCTTTTAAGCACCAACAACTGCACATTGCTAACTTGAGCTAACAGATAACGCTTTTAAGCACCAACAACTGCACATTGCTAATTTGAGTTCATAACTCACATCTAACAACTGCGCGATTGTAAAAACCTATCAGGTACAGATAACGCTTTACAAATACGTAAAAAATATTTTTCAAAAAAGAACAGCGACGTGACATGACGTATTATGCAGCATATAGGGAGGTTATTGGTTACCAACTAAAAAGGCGGCGACGATCATCGTGCTCAAAGGCCGCTGGCATTCACGCTTTTAATGATCGAGGCTTGCGGTCACAGTGCTTTAGCTATAGACATTCCCGAGGGATTGGATGTTAATGGTCAAAATGTAAATCGCCCAAGAGTTCTGACTCCTTGGGTCCTTGCTCTATGGTGTGACACGGTAACTGACTGGACCAACACGCTGACGTTGCCTGACGATCATGCGAAGACACTGCGGCTAATAGCCTTGGCACATTCTGGAACTGTTATTGGTGTGGAACTTTGCGCGCGAACCAGTACAGTGCAGTGTCCCGTCCATTGATCTCCATACGGAGACAATGGTCCCGTACGTCCATGGTGCTCTCAAAAGTGGTAAAACGCGCCCTCTTGGTTAGAGCACTGAGCCCATACGGAGGCCAAGTGTTCGGAGAAAAGAACTTGTCCACATGAATTTCGACGCAAGATCTCCAGTTAATGTGACCGTCCGTTGCATGATGAAATCATTTGTGCCAGCGTGGATGGTACCCCCAAGCACATGATTATTTCTTGGCACTCGCGCGTGTGGAAAGGAGCCATGCTGACTTCCTTGGGCCTCGTGCGCCCGGCCCGGGACGAAAGCATTTTTGTCAGTTTATATTTCGGACCCCCAAAACACACTTAGACCAGAAAGTAATACCTATGACGATTTCAGGGTCGTTTCAAAGACAAATGGGATAAATCCTGGAGAAATTGAGAGAAAATGACAAAAACAATTTGCCCCGCCCCTGTACATTTTCTTTGGACCGATTTCGCTTTCAGCCTCACGATCGATCCATCGATGTGCATGCGTGCATGAATTTGAATTTATTAGGAAACTGGTCTTTTATGCAGTAGTTATAAATATTCATTCTTTTATGGTCAGCCCAAATCCAACGAGAGAAGACTGTTTACCATAGCCCGTACTCATTATCAAAGTGAAAATAATTATACCGTTGCGTCAAGGCTGTCTTTCGAGTGTGTATGACGCAATGTGTATGACAAAATCACTGGTTTGCACGTGCGTATGGCATGAAGCGTAATCGTCCAATTTATAGTGTCTTTTGGCGGCAAAAACTGAACGTCCACGTATTTATCCCGCACTATTTTCGTCCGTGTATTAGCAAAATATTTTCAATGATGTGTATTTTACCCTTTCGTTAATATCCTCCACAGGATATCACCGGGAATTTCAAGACGTTCGCCTCTTTGTTTAATCAGAAGGGCGTAAGTTACGACTCAGCCGTGATAGTATTGATGAGCCACGGCGATAAAGATGGAGTCATTCTCGGCACTGATAAAGTGAAAGTGAAACTTCAAGATTTGCATCGGGAGCTGGAACAAGGTGATGGGCTGGCAGGGAAACCCAAGATATACTTCGTGCAGGCGTGCAGGGGGAGTGAGTACAAATTCCTTCCAATTGGCCGTATGATGGCGCTCTCACGATCACATTTTGTGGTTACAAACAGTTGAAATCAGGGGCAAGTTCGCGCAAGAACTATTGTTAAACCATAGTTCGACTAACTTAGCCCGAACTCTTTCAGTCGACGATGGTTGAACTATACGCTAGTCGACTATTTAGTCAGGCAGCTTAGTGAATGAATGGATGTGGACATTCCGGACAAAAGCGCCAAAATTTTCTCAACATGCTCCTCAATACCTTAGCTTTCAATTTTTGATAGGAACCAACTTATTTAATGACATTATGGCGGCCATCTTGGAATTTAAGGTTGGCGGCCATTAACAACCTATATCTACGAAAATCTCATCTTCTAAGCCTCTTAGAATTAAAGTTTTACATTTTCAGGGTCAAGGAATGCAATTGTACTATTTGGGATAGTGTCAAATGGTTAGTTTGTTCAAATACTTAATACGGCGGCCATGTGGTTTGCCGTAACAGGACCAACACTGGCCCGATTCAGGCTATGTAGTAGAAGGAGGGTACCAGACTTTACCCCTTCCCGCCCCCGCCCCCGCCCCAATGATCCCCTCCCCAAAAATAGATCCCTCTCCCAATATCTCAGTCTCGGAATCAGGCCAAAACCGGACCCAATATCTCTCGTCTTGAAGATCTCTCTCTCACCAGCCGGTGAGTCTGATTGCTTATAAATCCAAAAGTTTGACCTCTTAACATTTTTTAAAAAATTATATTGATATATATAAATAATGAATATGATCAGGTCAATCGTTAAGGCATTTTCTAGATGGAATGAAGCCACGCTGCGCGATTACGTCCAGCGATATAATATACCGTACAATCAAAATGTTGCTCTTACGCGTAAAGTCTACATCAACGGGGTAAATATCTTTGAAGCTCGATTTAAAAACTTGAGGAAAAAGACGGTACTTGAGCTCAAACAGATTGTAGACGATTACGATCTAGAATATAACTCGTCGGGTTATAAAGGTCGATTTTTGGAAAAAGATTTACTCTCAGCGATTCAAAACTCTAGGCAACGCGAGGATTTTCAAGAGGCTGAGTTTAGAGCAACGAGGAGATTTAGAAACAACTTTGAAACTGGGAACTGATTCCTAGACTTTTTAACGACGATTTAGTCCGATTTGTTGATACGCATAAAGATCAAATTGTAAATAAAATCAAGTCAGAATTGAGAGAGCTAAGAGGTTTAAAAGTAGAGCTCGCAATCAAAATAAAATCCGAAAAAACCAAACCGGTTGGTACGATCGAAACGATCGAAGCTACACATTTTACCGATCATAGAGTCGTTTGAAATCAAAGTCAAATAAAACAGGTTTTAAAAGAAGACATCGACCAGCTATTTAAAAAGGATGAAAGGTAAACGAATCAAGGATCAGGTTGGGTTTTAAAAAAAGATAATGGCGTTGTATATCAACATTAACAGGTTTAACCCCGTGAGGGGCAGTTCTTATATTGACCTACCAAAATGTACCAAACAGAACACGGCGATGATAAATATTAAAAACAAAGACGACGAGTGTTTGAGATGGTGTTTGAGAGCTGCTCTTGGCTTGTATACGGATAAAGTAAAAAAATAACATAAAAAACGATCCTAAATATAAACTTCATAAAGAAGAACCTGTTGTATACACCAAAGACGACGGACTTAAATTTAAAGGCGTAGACTTTCCAACACCGATCGACCAGATACCAAAGATAGAAAGACAAAATAATTTTACGATAAACGTATACGTTTATGAAAATATATCCGTTACACGTGTCTAAAAACTACAAAGCAGAGTCACGACCTATCGATCTGTTTTTGTTTTCTGAGGGCGACAAGCATCACTATTGCTGGATAAATAATTTTTCGAGATTGATTTACAACGTTACCAAACATAAAAGTAAGAAATATTTTTGTCAAAGGTGCCTGTGTCATTATAGAACGCAAGTAAAATTAGATAGACACATGACCGATTGTAATGGTATAGATACACATCCGTCAAAGACTGTATTTCCTACCGCTAAGCGAAAATATGTAAATAACGAGTGGATAATCGACGAAAACGATGTGCCAATATTAGAATTTAACAACTACAGGTTTAAACAAAAAGCACCGTTTGCAGTTTACTCCGACTTTGAATCGATATTAGAAAAAACTCGGACGATAAAAAGGACAACGGGCAAAAGACAAACATTCACAAAGCAAGCGGTTACTCATTGGTAGTAGTTAGATGCGACGACACCAATGCGTATCAAGAGACAAAATGTTAACAAATACAAAGCGACATAAATTGCATATTTAAAAAACCCCAACCCATGAAATTTAACGAACGAGCTAAAGAACATCATGATAAAACAAACACGTGTCGGATTTGCGAGAAACCAATTTATCCCAATTACTCGAGCAACTTTCAGTGCCAGAACCCCCCCCCCCCAAAAAAAAAAAAAAAAACCAGAAAAACAAATAAAGAAAATCAGTACGAAAACAAAAATGGATTTACCGAGTCTAAATGCCTCGAATGCAAAAAGAAAATCAACAAATTTAGAAAGGTGAGAGATCACTGCCACGTCACGGGTAGATATAGAGGTGCCGCGCACGCCTATTGCAATCTGAAATTACAAGTTAAACCAGGTTTTGCCCCAATACCAGTCGTCTTTCACAATCTGCAAAATTACGACACTCACTTGATAACGCAGAGTATTTCAGAGTACAATGACGAAAAGGAAATACAAGTTATCGCTAGAAATTCGGAAAAGTATATTTCGTTTTTGATCGGAAATATGCGATTTATAGACTCGTTTAATTTTATGGCGTCTTCGTTGGATTGATTATCTAAAGCTTGTCCAAGAGAGTCGTTTAAACTACTCAGAGAAAATTTTAATCGTCAAAACATCGACTCGTTGTTACAAAAAAGAGTTATCCGTATGAATACATGGACTCGTTTGACAGATTTCAAGAGACCAGCCTATCCTCCATCGAACAATTTTACAGCAGCCTAAAAGACGAAAATATATCGCGAGAGGACTACGACAGAGCTAATATGACGTGGAACGAATTTAAAGTTAAAAACATGGGGGAATATCATGATTTGTACGTCACTTCCGATACGTTATTACTGGCTTGCGTATTTGAAAACTTTAGACAAACGTGTATTACAAACTACGCGTTAGATCCAGCTAATTACTACACATCACCAGGATTGTCGTGGGATGCCTTGTTAAAACACTCGGAAGTTAAACTCGAAATATTGCAAGACGTAGACAAACAATTATTTTTTTGAAGAGGCAAAAAGAGGTGGTATCTCGAGCGTGGGTGGTATGAGATACCACAAAGCCAACAACAAATACCTACCCGACCATAATCCAAACGAGCCGTCGAGTTACATCACCTACCTCGATGCAAACAATCTGTACGGCTGGGCCATGAGTTAATACCTGGCGTACAAAGACTTTTAAATGGGCGTCTACACAAACGTTTACCGACTCCAAGATATTATCTCTCAGGAAAACGTCAAACACCGGTTACTGCTTTGAAGTAGACCTCGATTACCCAGGCAATCTCCACGACCTGCACAACGATTATCCGTTAGCGCTGGAAAACATCGTCATACCAAAATAATGGATGTCTGATTATCAAAACGAGTTATTGGATACCAAACCTAGTAGCAACGTGCAAAAAATTAACGTGTACCCTTAATCCTAAACAAAAATATGTTTTGCACTACGTCATGTTACAGTTGTATCTCAAACTCGGCTTGAAACTTAAAGCGGGACTCTAATAACCAGGAAAAAAAATGTTTAGCATGCTGTTATATTAAATTTAATTCTCATTTTAAAATGTGCATATGAAATTAACTTCCTGGGTTTCTTTAAACAAGAGAAAAAAAAGATCAAAAAGAGCTTTAGAACTACGCGCGACGAGCTAAAAACAATGAAATGGCGCTGACGTCATAATCATTATGTAATGACCCCGATGACGTATAGTTTGAAAGTCGCTGCTCGGTCAGCTGTTTTTAGGTATACGGACTTGGCATGTATGGCCATGGCAACGCAACGCTTTTCATTGCGCTGTATTTTTACATTATACTTACCGCTTGGTTTCGTTCAAGTCATCAAAGTCATCGTGTATTTTGGTCATTTTCAAGCATTTTGTGCAATGCCACAATCCTGTGTGGTTGGTGGTTGCACCAGAAATACGAAGAAAAATCCTGGCGTTTGTTTCTTGTCGTTTCCAAAAGCTGAGAGTACGCAAAAAAGTTGGATCCGATTTGTAAACAACACCCGGTCCGACTTCGTCTTGACCGACTGGTCCAAGGTGTGCTCTGCACATTTTGCCGATGATTGTGTCGACGAGTCTTACAAATTAAAAAAAAGTCTCGGCGTGTCAGCAAATTTCAAGTTAGTTGAGGGAGCCGTACCCACCGTCAAGGCCCCTTCAATTGACCCTTCAAACACATGCCCGACGCCGGGCACGAGCGAGAGAGAAAGTGAGCAGGAGCTGCTTAGCAAGCGCCGACGGTAGGGCGGAGCATTCCAAAAGAGGGAAAAGGCCAGGGTAAGTTGGTTCTCGGCAAACACCACTACGTTCTAGCCATTATTAAACTTAAATAGCGAGGAGTCTCAATTACGAATGGCATGGATTTTGTACAGTTTTGGCCAAAAGAAAATTAACTTAAACCCTAATTTTTGTATTTCTCATTTTGTCTTTTTTTTTTTTTTTAATGACCGATGAAAATAAAATAAAAACAATGGCCTGCAAACAAGTTGATTAAACTGATTTTAGTGCCAAACAAAAAGGTGTGTTTCTGGTCATTTTTACTGGCTTAGAAGAAGGGAGACTATGTTTATATTGTGTGAGGATTTGTGTACATAATATTTTGGTAAAACCGTTTTGTTGCAACTTTAGCGGTTGTGTACAAAGTCTTTGGAGAGTCAAGAATTTGTTTTATTTGTTTTCCAACAAATTAGAAATGTTTTTCCGTCCCAGATTCATGTCTTATCATCATTTTTACAATGACTGACATTCATTGAGATGATATATGAAGAAGAA